TTAGGCAAAGACAAAGACTGCAAAGAAAAGGAGGCCAAAGCGCTCACGGGTAAGGAGCGCGACAAGGAGCCCAAGGCGCCCGCCAGCCTCGGGAAGGAGGGCAAGGAACCCAAAACCAAAGGGAAAGACGCCAAAGATGGGAAGAAGGACGCGAGTGGCGCGCCGCCGGCTGTCGCTTTCTCCGTGGACAACACGATAAAGCGGCCGAATCCGGCGACGGGCACGCGCAAGAAGTCCAGCAACGCCGAGGTGGCCAAGGAGCTGGTCAAATGCCGCGATGAGAACTCGACACGCCTGGATCTGTCCAAGCGCTCCATCCACCTGCTCCCGTCATCCATCAAGGAGCTGACGCTGCTCACCGAGCTCTACCTGTACAGCAACAAGCTGCAGAGCCTCCCGGCCGAGCTGGGCTGCCTCTCGGGCCTGGTGACGCTGGCGTTGAGTGAGAACTCGCTCACCAGCCTGCCGGACTCGCTGGACAACCTAAAGAGGCTGCGCATGCTGGACCTGCGGCACAACAAGCTGCGGGAGATCCCGGCCGTGGTGTACCGCCTCACGTCCCTCACCACACTGTACCTGCGCTTCAACCGCATCACCGCCGTCGAGAAGGACATCCGCAACTTGAGCAAGCTCACCATGCTGAGCATCCGCGAGAACAAGATCAAACAGCTGCCCGCCGAGATCGGTGAGTAAATCTGTAAAAAGACTGAAGAGTGTGTGTGTGTGTGTGTGTGCGTGTGTGTGTTGGCTCAAAGTTCTGTGCTAGTAACCGAAACCACTTGCTAACAACCTTGAAACAAGTCCACTAACACTTTAACTGCTCCTGTCCCCAGCTTCCTTTGAAGTTACTAATAAACCTGCAAAAAATGTGTGAATATTATAATAATAATAATAATAATAATAATAATAATAATAATAAACCTCTTTCCCAGTACAGTAAAGACAACGAAAAAACACTCCTGCCAATAAAAACGTCAGATTAGCCCATCAGCATATAAATATCGAATGATTGACAGTTCCCCAATATTAACAGTACTCCTGGAAGCTCCGCCCCTTCCCCTCAATCTCCCATGAGTCTCGTCTCCTCTCGGTTTTCCTTACACGGGACCCTGAGTTCGACGGTGTTTTGAGTTTGTGAATGTGAAACAGAAGCTAGTGATGTATGTGTGACTGAAATGATCTGACTATAAAGTTAAAGTACTATGTTTGGGCTGAAAATAGTCAAAAAAAAATAAGGCACTTTTTTCAGCTGAAAGAGAGAAAGAACAAAAAACAGGCCTGTGAGGACGTTTCAGTGCTGAGCTTCATGCTCTGTATGTGTGACAGTAACAGTTGATGAGTTGTAACGTGTACGCTTACACAGGCCAAGGATCAGTAGATGTACCGTATGCATTAGATTATCTCCTGCACCTGTGTGATCTCTCTGTCTGTCTCTCTCTCTCTCTCTCTCTCTCACCCTACAGGAGAGCTGTGCAACCTGATCACTCTGGACGTGGCCCACAATCAGCTGGAGCACCTTCCTAAAGAGATCGGCAACTGCACACAGATCACCAACCTGGACCTACAGCACAACGAGCTCCTGGACCTCCCTGAGACTATCGGTGCTCTCACACACACACACACACACACACACACACACACACACACACACCCCTACCCCTTCACTCAGCAGATCACTGCATCTCCTTTATCTCCTTTCCTCACTGTAACACCTTATTACTAGTCTTTAAACCTCGTGATCGTGTAGCACCTTCATCCATCTCTGATGAACACTGTTCCACATCGTGTCTTAGGCTCGTTCTCAATGTTCCACTTACCAAACCTGAAGAGAGAGATGAAGCAGCTTTTTCATTTTTGTCCACCAAAACTCTGGGACACAAACGTTAAGCCGTTAAATTTGGCAGGATCCAGCTGTCCCGGATTTAAAAAAAAAAAAAAAAAAAAAAAAAAAAAATCACTTTCAGCTTTTAACTAGCTTTTATTATTTCACTTACTTTTACATCACCTTTATTTTATTTTACTTATATAGTTTTATTTACTTTATACGCTTTTCATTATTTAAAAAAACATTTTCTTCTTTTCCTCAGTGCTAGCATTTATTTATTTATTTATTTACATCACACTGTAAAGCACTTTGAGCTTTAACTGTAGAAAAGGTTTTATATTAGTAAAGTTTCTTCTTCTTCTTAGTAACACTTTTGTGTTTGTTTTACTGCTGCAGGCAATCTGTCGAGTATAAACCGTCTGGGGCTGCGGTACAACAGGCTGTCGGCGATCCCCCGCTCCTTAGCCAAGTGTCGGGAGCTGGAAGAGTTAAACCTCGAGAACAACAACATCTCCGTGCTGCCTGAGGTGAGAGCCGGACGCCGTACACTCCTCCTCTCTTCCTCCCCTCCCTTCTCTCCTCTCCTCCCCTCCTCTCTCCCTCTCCCTTCTCTCCTCTCCCTTCTCTCCTCTCTCCTCTGCTCTCCTCTCCCTTCTCTCCTCCTCTCCCTCCTCCCCTCTCCTATCCTCTCTCCTCTCCTCTTTAACACTAGCTACGGTTCCATCGGGGAAAAAAACGTTAGTTTAATAAAAGATCAAGTGTAACCATCGGCAAATTGCTGTAGCCTAAGAGGAATAAAACACTTTATTCATTGGAAGATGTAGGAAATTAAACAACTTTAGGCTGACGACGGTCACTCCATCCTGTAATGATTGTTTTCCTTTGACAGCATGCCCCCACGTGTTTGTTATAGCTAGCAAAAAAGTTGCCTGTTAGCATGATGCCATGGTACACCTACCTTACAAATCAACATGACATCATGCTAAAGTTATTTATTTTTTTGCCCATTCCAACATTATCCCATACCTTATTCATCTCCGTCTTCATGGAACACTGATCTGCTGGGAAACATTTCTGTCCAAACTGTGTGTAAGCAAGAAGAAGAAGACAGCAACCACATGACAGACGGTGAGCATCACGTCACTGTTTAATCTCCTTACTCTTAAACCCCTGGCGCAGTGAGCCGGTGCTGACCTGATGCTCATGTGATCGCTCGCGGGTCGTGTAGCCGGAAACGTACTCAGCTCGTTAACATTACTGCATTATTGCGCAGCCTTCGTTACTCCGCTGTGATGTCGTCGTTGACGCTGGGGATGTGTATATATCTAAATATATAAAAATAAATCACTTACTGTTTATGTATGAAGTGATCATACTGTGTGGTGGTATGCTATGCTAACGTGGTTGTCATGGCTCGTGCACAGGGTCTGCTCTCGAGCCTGGTGAACCTGACGAGTCTGACGCTGGCGCGCAACTGTTTCCAGTCGTACCCCGTGGGCGGCCCGTCGCAGTTCTCCACCATCTACTCGCTGAACATGGAGCACAACCGCATCAACAAGATCCCTTTCGGCATCTTCTCACGCGCCAAAGTCCTCAGCAAGCTCAACATGAAGGTGAGGAGATACGGACTCTTTCCGTCGTGTAGCTAGAAATGACGTAGAAAGAGCGTAGAGAACTTTCCTGGACTTCCTTACCTGCAACTGCACATTGGCAGAACGTCACGGTGAAGGTGTGTGAGGCGGGCGAGAAGAATTTATTCTTCCTCTTCTCGTAGCTGTTCTTTATATATGAAAGACTTGTTCAGGAAAACAGCATCTTTTTATTGGCATTTGTCCATCAGATTAATTTTAAAGACGTGACGTGTGTGAGTGTGAGTGTGTGAGTGAGTGAGAGACACCATATGTTTTTTTTTTTTCTCTTTTATTAAAGGAGCTTTTTCACCCACGTCAAACTTTTATTTTTTTTATTAAATTTTCTAGATAAAGGAAACGCTTAGGAAAACCACTAAATGAACCATAACTGACTCACTAGACATTTCTTGCTCACACTGGGGAACAGGAAAGCCTGTAGTGATTAAATACGCTTCTTTTTGCTTTTCGTCGTCTTTGTTAGGACAACCAGTTGACGTCGCTGCCGCTGGACTTCGGGACATGGACCAGCATGGTGGAGCTGAACCTGGCCACCAACCAGCTGACTAAGATCCCCGAGGACATCTGCGGCCTCGTTTCCCTCGAGGTATACACAGCGCACTCGGTGCCTTCAAGACCATTATGTCGGAATTGATATCCGACGTTCCATAGTGTATATGATTGGGTGTGTTCAGTGACATGTAGCTGTCCTAGTAATTAGCATGTCCTGTTTCACGTTGGGATGGACGCAGATAGAGTGATATCAGATTCTCTAGAATAGCCCAGGATTAAACTTTAGTGAAAGACTGAATTCCGTGCACTTGTTTACTTTAAGATCTCGGAAAGTGAACAGGCTCTGGCTCATGTGTTAGTAGGAACTGTCGTTACTGAATGTTACAGCTTTAATGAGTTTGACATCTGCGTATATTTTTAAGTGTAAGTTTGTGTGTAATCAGACGTGAAGGCTCACTGTTCGTTGTTGCTGCCTCCAGGTCCTCATATTGTCCAATAATCTACTGAAGAAGTTACCTCACGGGATCGGGAACTTGCGGAAGCTGCGCGAGCTCGACCTGGAGGAGAACAAGCTGGAGTCTCTCCCGAACGAGATCGCCTACCTGAAAGACCTACAGGTAAAACACACAGCTGCTCTCCTTCTCAGGAACATTTTAAACAAGTACTATAAATATGTACAAAAGATTAGAGAAATGTGCTTCTTGCAAAACTCTTGTGTCGATTTTTCTTTGTAGAAACTCGTGTTGACCAATAATCAGCTGACCACGTTGCCGAGAGGGATCGGTCACCTGACCAACCTGACTCACCTGGGCTTGGGAGAGAACCTCCTGCAGCACCTGCCTGAGGAGATCGGTGTGTGTGTACACACACACACACACACACACACTTCACAAGTGCCCCTTTGCACGTCATCTGACCTGGCCGTTAGTTTGGGTCAGAGGGGGCATTTAGGAGTGTGGGGTTTTTTTTTTTTTTACACCTTGATTTGAGCGCTGAGATATTGCCTTGTCCCTCCTTAAAATGTGCTACATAATGGTGGTGGCTCAATGGTTAAGGTGTTGGGCTACTGATCAGAGGGTCTGGGGTTCGAGCCTCAGCACCGCCAAGTTGCCACTATTGGGCCCTTTTTAACTTGAGTATGCTGTAATGTGTGAGACACAAATAAAGGCTTCTGCATCCTCTTTATACATGCTTCAGCGCTCCACCGGTGTGGCTGTATGTACCTGCCTGACAACGTGGAGGCTGATCAGCTATCAGTCAGTCAATCACTTCACACATCTATAGATTCATATTTGCTGTTAGGAAATGTTTTAATGGATAAGACACATTATTAAATCACATCAGTGCATGCAGAGCTGTGCAGGTTTCCTGATCACATGGAGGGGAAAACATTCTGTAGACTAAACATTCAACATTAACTGTAAACTAACCTGCAGCAAACTACCACCACAGCATTTTCCAGCCAATCCCAAAGCGAAGCTCTCAGAGGCAGACTCCGTTGATTCAGTTCCAGAGAATGTGACTTTTCCATCAGACACTTAACCAAGGCGACTGGCTCAAACCTGGACTGCACTGAATACAAATGTTGAGTGCATCTTCAGGGTTGATCACGTAAGCGGTTGCCTTTGTTTTGGGCAGCTTGGATGATTCAACTTGTAACAAGTAACTATCCTCAAGCACGACTATATAAATGCAGGCTATTTGTGTCAGTGAGTTGGTCTCATTGTCACAGCTAATTTTTTTAAGACAGACTTGGCAACCGCGTTACTGTGCGATCACGAGTGGAGACGCACCCGAGACACGTGAATTACATAATCACCGTTTATGATAATCTTGATATTCTGCTTAAAAGGCAATACTGTGTCTAACTACAGCCTAAGAAACTAGCGAGAGCTAGCGTTTTAAGTAGAACATCATGATTAGATCACGAGCAGCGCTAAAAGGTTGGGTAATTACAATGCCGAGAAAATCTAATCTTGCACACGCCTACCTGAACAGAGTCCGAGCCTCGTGTGTTTAGCGCAGTACAGTGAACACATCTGATCCAGTCTGTTCCTCTGCCGTAGGCACTCTGGAGAACCTGGAGGAACTGTACCTGAACGACAACCCCAACCTGCACGGGCTGCCCTTCGAGCTGGCGCTGTGCAGCAAGCTGTCCATCATGAGCATCGAGAACTGCCCCCTGAGCCAGCTCCCGCCGCAGATCGTCGCCGGCGGCCCGTCCTTCATCATCCAGTTCCTCAAGATGCAGGGCCCGTACCGCGCCATGGTCTGATCTCACCGCCGGAACCCAGCCAGAACCTACAACACGAACAAACAGACCAGTCCATGTGCAGTTTCAAGACATCCCCGTCACGTGAGAGAGAGAGAGAGAGAGAGAGAGAGAGAGAGAGGGAGGGGACAGGACGACGATTATTCCCTTCATAAACCAGTTGAGGACGCAGTCACAGTCCTCGAAATATCGTACCATGCCATGATGTCATCACACACACACACACAACCAAGAACTACTACTAATAATAATAATAATAATAATAATAATAATAACGCTCATGCTCTGCTTCACTGAGAGAGAGAGAGGGTGAGACTGATTATTCAGAAAAATCACAAAAAAAACCAAAATATTTCCGTTTCGTAGGTTTCTGACTAATCCCATCGCACCGAACGGACCAATCGTAATCCAGCCGGAACGGAAAACATTCACACATCCGAGAGGGAAGACCAGAGCGTTCACTCCAGCGCCAATAATACGGATCTTTAAAGAAAAATAAATAAATAAAGACTTGGATTTGGACGTGTTGCTGAAGCGGCTTTGTGTTCGGAGGACGCGTGAACTCGCTGAGCACCGAAGCCACGTTGCCAACTTTTAAATCCTCTTCATTTTAAAACAGTTGTATGCAAAAACACATTTTCCTTCATCGTTTGCTGCTGCTGCCATAATCTTTTTTTTCTTTTTTTTTTTTTAAAGATTGTGTTTATCCTCTTGATATTCCTAAAAAAAAATTTTTTTAATTTTTAATTATTATTATTCCTTTTTAACGACCATCCCATGGTTTTGTTTTTGTACAGAGGTTGTTGGGTAAGTGCGAACAAGTGTAGTCGTGAAAACCTTTTTATATATACATATGAACATTTTATTTATGTGTGTGTGTGTGTGTATATATATCTACATATATCTATATATTTACACACACACACACACACACACACTGAAATTGTGCCTATCCAGCAGATATGGCTGGTTCGTTTTCTGGACGTAATTGCTCTCGAGGTGTTTCATACGAAAAACGATGATTTTTGCGAAAGCATAATTTATTGAATGATTCCTTTATCTAGCATTTTTATATATTTTTTTTTATATATTCACACACACACACACACACACACACTGATTCCCCCCACTAGTTGATTAAACGAACATATTGCTCGTATAATTGAGCTTTTAGTGTTTTTTTTTTTTTTTTTTAAATCAGATCAGTTAAACAGACAATGCCAGAGTCTCACATTTAAATAATGAAATGAAGCAAAACATGAAAAATGATGATTTATACAGCATCTTATACAGACGGTCACTTCTAGGAGGATTATCGATCAGTTCTAAAATATTTACGAGAAATTAGGCAGATCAGATTCACCAGAAAATCATGTTATGAAAAGAATTTATGAAAAATAAAGCATATCAGAGATGCACGCAAGTTTAAACTTTTGTCCCAAATGTCCCTGGTGATTTCGTGCTGCTTCGAGTGTGATGATGAATTACTGATTATTTTCCTCAGTGTTCTTCTCCTCGAGCTTCAGCAGCCGACAACGTTAGCCGGGAAACGTAACTCGGCTCGTCTGAAGCGCGAGAGGCTTTTTTTTTTTTTTTGGGTTTTATTTGGGACTTTTTAATTCGATTAAGCACTCGGTCTTTATCAGAAAGTCTGGTTCTCTGTGTCTGTTGCTCGCTCACACTGGCACTCAGAAAGCTCGGATCTTTTTCTTTAGCGTTTCGCTTTTATGCACTTTGTAACAAAATCCGGCATCGACTTTAAGATGTGTGTGTTTCGTGCTACCGGTTTACTCTTCGAAAGGGGGCATTTTTATCCTATAGTGAAGTATTTTACGCTTTATTTAATCACATGAACTCATTTGCATTATTGTTTTTTTCTTTTAAACATTTCGTTTAAAACAGAAATTCTGGTTTGTACATTGTTTTATTAAATCTTTTTTTTCCCTGTCAGTTTGTCACTGTGCGTTACGAAACGTCCATATCTCTGGTATTATCATTACTTTTTGTAAAGTGTTAAAAGTTAATTACGGCCCTTGATTTTTTTTTTTTTTAACAATTTGAATGGAATTGTCTTTATTTAGTATTATATCAATATCAAGTGACTGTATGTTTAAAAAATTCCCGTGTAGGTTGTCAAACTTTTTTTTTTTTTTTTTTTTTTTTTTTTTTTTTTTTTTTTTTTTTTTTTTTTTTTTTTTTTTTTTTTTTTTTTTTTTTTTTTTACACTATTTTTATTTTGTGAAGATGTCTCCATCAGCAGCAGCATATCAGAAAAAGCAGAGCATGATGGACACTGTCGCTGCTTTCGAGCTGTTGCTGGACCTCTTTAACACACACACACACACACAATGCTGTACACACACGCAGAGTTACTACAGACTCGAGCGCACAGGCGCGAGCGCAGCACGGACCGTCAAACAAAAACTTGTAAAAAGGGCTTTTTTTTTTCCTGTTCCCCGCTCGCAGACACGCCATAGGCATCGCATTCCCAGTTTTGTATAAAAGCTTAGACGAAACAAAGTGTACATTTGATTTTCCTCTTTTGTGTAATTACAGTTAGCTGTTAACGAGATGGAGTTATTATTATTGTTATGTGGAAAATAAATGCCTTCGAGGAGTACCGAGTGCTCGTGTCCCATTTAAGACGTATGCTTCCTGCCTGATGTGTGCGAGATGTGGACGGGACGGAGACAAGACTGTAGCGTTAATGAGGCGGTGACTGGGACCGTGACAAGGACAGACACAGGGCAGTGACAGGGATGGAGACAGACACTGGGCAGTGACCGGGATGGAGACAGACACAGGGATGGAGACAGACACTGGGCAGTGACAGGGATGGAGACAGACACTGGGATGGAGACAGACACAGGGATGGAGACAGACACAGGGCAGTGACAGGGATGGAGACAGACACTGGATTAAGACAAATGAGGTGGTGACAGAGAGGGAGACAGAGACGGGACCTGACGGAGACAGGGTGGTAACAGAGGGAGAAAAATATGAGGGCGAAAGCTATGGAATGGTGATGGACACGGGATGGAGACAGAGAAGGCAGTGAAAGATGGGGTGGTAACTAAGGTGGAGATAGCAAAAGGGTGGTGACTGGGGGGCGGAGACAGAGGCAGAGACAGGCGGAGACTGGAGTAGAGACAGACGGGGCGGAGACTGGAGTAGAGACAGAGTCAGGGCAGGGACTGGAGTGGAGACAGACAGAGTCGGGGCAGTGACTGGAGTAGAGACAGAGACGGGGTAGAGGCTGGAGTAGAGACAGAGACGGGGCGGAGACTGGAGTAGAGACAGAGACGGTGTAGAGGCTGGAGTAGAGACAGAGACGGGGCGGAGACTGGAGTAGAGACAGAGACGGGGCGGAGACTGGAGTAGAGACAGAGTCGGGGCGGAGACAGAAACAGTGACGGAGGGGGTGGAGACTGGAGTAGAGACAGGCAGAGTCAGGGCAGTGACTGGAGTAGAGACAGAGTCGGGGTGGAAACTGGAGTAGAGACAGAGTCAGGGCGTTGACTGGAGTAGAGACAGAGTCGGGGCGGAGACTGGAGTAGAGACAGAGTCGGGGCGGAGACTGGAGTAGAGACAGAGTCGGGGTGGAAACTGGAGTAGAGACAGAGACGGGGTGGAGACTGGAGTAGAGACAGAGTCGGGGCGGAGACTGAAACAGTGACGGAGGGGGTGGAGACTGGAGTAGAGACAGAGTCGGGGCGGAGACTGAAACAGTGACGGAGGGGGTGGAGACTAAAAATATTGGAGCTGGAATTGTGCTGGTCTCTGACTCCTCTGTCCATGTGATCTGACTGCTGAGGGTCTGATCTCTGAATGTT